CAGGTAGGGCGTCTGGCCGTCGGGTGGAGGGGGCGGCCTGTCCGCAGGTCCACCCCAGTGGCGGGGTTCCCTCCCTCTGCTTGTGCTCCCTCCCGGGGCAGGGCTCATTCCCTAAGCCCACTCGGAGCCCTCCAGGTTGTTCTGAGACAGGCGGGGGAGAAGTCTATAGCAGCCGAGCGACTGCAGGTCAAGTGTCCGGCTCTGAGGACCCCAGAGGGTCCCAGAGGACCTTAGAGGACGAGGGCGGCAGTGGGGGATCCCGCAGGCTGAGCCCGCCTCTCCCAGGGGCGCACGGGAGCTCTGGGGGTCGCGGGAACCCGTCTGAGAGCTCCCAAGGAAAACCCTGCCCTCCGCGTGAATGGAAACCGCAGAGCACCCTGCGGCTAGCGCGGGTCCGCGTGCGGTGTCGGGGGCGCCTGTCTGGGGGCGCCCCTCGGGTGCGTGCGCGCGTTCCGCAGGCCTAAGGCCCGGCCGGCCACGTGCGCCGTGCGCCAGTCCCGAGAAGTCTGTGTAGGGGTGTGTCATCTACCTGCCAGCGTCAGAGTGTGCGTCCGTCCGTTAGGGGCAGCCCTCCCTAAAGGAGGGACTTTTAGTCACTGATTACATCTTTCAAAATTCCCCAATGGTTCGAAATTAACTTCGTGAGACCAAGTCGCGAGACGTGGGCGCCCGGAACGCGGGCGGTGCTCTCCACGCGGCCTGCGGCCTGCGTGCTGCGTTCCGAGGCCTCTCCCCAAGCCCCCAGGCCTGCGAAGCCGCCCTGAGTCCTCCTCCTCTCCCCCGCAGACCATTGAGAACATCAAGGTGGGGCTGCACGAGAAGGAGCTCTGGAAGAAGTTCCACGAGGCGGGCACAGAGATGATCATCACCAAGGCTGGCAGGTCAGCCCGGGGGCACTGCAGGAGCGGCGGGACAGGGATGGCACCACAGGACCCTCCGAGGGGCCTCTCAGGCTCCAGTGTTGGGGGGCTGCCCAAGTCCCCTCCGACCCTTGGACTTCTGTCTAGGCAGCGACTGTGGATTGAGGCTGCAGGGGGCTTGCCCGTCAAAGAAGTTGAGAGGGTAGGACGGATTGGAAAACACTATGTAAATAGATGCAAACAAGGATCTACCCCAAATCTTGGCTCCGGCCTCTTTTGCCCCCTGGGGGGTCTGCTTTTTGTTCTGTGTACTAACGTACGAAAGGTTTCTCTACAAGGGTTGAGAATCTGAGGGAGTTGTCCTCAGTAGATGGAAAAGGGAATGCGATTTCCCCCACCTGTCCCCTCCTCGAACTTTTCTGAGAGCATCACCGACCCCAAGTCTCTCCGAGTTATCCCTCGATTTTCCCTTCTCAGCTAACGTTGGCTTTGTGTGTTTGAGGCGCAGCTCTCCGGGTGGCTGCCAGAGAGGGATGATTTATAAAGTGGAAACATCTTTAAAATGCGCTGGTGTCTGTGGGAGAAGACCGGGAGGGGAAGGTGAGAGGAGGAAGCCACAGACAGTGGGGATTCGCTGGAGCTAAGGTGTCTGGGGTGGAGCAGGGAATGGAGCCGGCAGTTATCAGGTGAAGAGAGATGGCTGCAGACAGAGAATCTGGAAAGTTCAGGTTCAGGAACTTCACACAAACACACACACACACACACACACACACACACACACACACACACACACATCCCACAAAGCAAAACAAAATCTTTGGTCCCCTGGGACAGGTTAGCAATGGAAATGTCCCTTTGGCTGGTTGCAGGCCTGCAATTAGGCTATAGGAGCAATAATATCATCGAGGTGCGTATAGGACTCAAGATTCTGAGTCTGACTGTGGTCTGTCCTGAGTTCCTGCTTCCGCTAGTTCTATCAGTGTAGTCTTAAAGGTACTTAAAAATCTCTACACCTTTCCAAGTCCTAACTGTAAAAGAATAGAGGCTAGTTCATTCAGTGGTATGTAAAGTACCGAGCACAGCCCTGGCACATATAAGTAAGCAATAAACGTTAGCTAAAAATATTAATAATAATTAGAAAAATGCCTGGTATCCACTCAGCATTCTCCCTTACTTTTTAGAGGATTCTGCTTCGTTGCTGAAGGAATATGGCCATTTCAAGGGAACAAAAGCCGGTGGCTTGCTGTGTCCGCGTGGTGGAGGGGTGCTGTGGTCTGTCTGCTGCTGGCTAGCATTGGTCTCCTTCATACTGTCCCGGCTGAGCAGGGTGAATTACCCAATCAATAAGGTAGTGAAAAGTTTCACATGTTTTTTACCACAAACATGTGAAACTGTTCACTCCAGATTAGTAAGTTAAGGACAAGTAAGCCTGTGCTTACCTTCCTTACTGGGGTGCTCTGTCCACGCCAGGGATTGTAAATTTGAAAAGAGGCTTTGATTTTTTTGTAGGAAGGTGCTGTGGGGTTGTGAGAGAGAGAGACAGATGCCAGCCATTCCTAGGAGCAGAATCTTTGATGTGGTGTGAAGGGGGGGGGGATATTGAAATTGTTCCTTACAGATCATTAAGTTAAGCATAAGTAGATCATACTTTGATTATTGAGGTAGTCTGACAGTGGGGTTGAAAGTCACCTGGAGCCTTTATCAGGAGAGGGAACTCAGAGGTCTCAGGACATGGATTTGATGTATTTGGGGATGAGGGTGCATTGGGAAGGTCATGGACTGGGGGGGGGGGGGTCAGGTATCAAAAGATACCTGGTGTCTCCTGTCCAAGTCATTGAACCTCGTTGGGACTCAGTGTCGTCTGGAAAGGAGATGGTGACTAGACCTTCTTGCCATTTTTTCCCCCCTGTGAGGCTCAAGCATCGGCTTGACAGCAGTGGGTTTGGTGGGTTTGGGTGAGGCTCAAGCCAAGCAATCATGTGAATGGTGCTTGGTAAATTGTCAAGTGGATTACAGGTGTGAAGAGGAGGATTTATTTCTTGTGCCTGCTGGGGCGGAGGGAAGGAAAGAAGAAAGATTCAGAACTTCCATTTTTAGGCAGTAGAAATAACTTGCTCTTGAAAATGATTGGCCAGCCTGTTCGCTGGGCATGCCTGGCCGCTGCCACTCTAAACAAAAGGCATTTGTGGTTCTCCTCAGTGGGGTTTCCTGCACCTGCGTGGGTCCTCCTTCCCTTCCTCCCAACACACACGTTTCCAGAGGTGATCGGCTTCAGGCAGATGTTTGTGCCTGGTCCTAGTAGAGGCTTACAAGTGGGCCTGAGGGAATAATGGTAATAATTCAAAAATGGTTGTGATGATGTTGGTCAATTATGGATTCATCACAGCTTTCTATTTCTCTGGCAGAAAGTTATCCTTGCACCAGATCTTGTCTTTAAGTAAGAGGCTTCATTCTTCCTGCCCACATCCCCAGGTTTCTCAGAGACACTTTATCCTCCTGCATGGCTTGTCTTCAAAGGCCACTTTCACTGCCCTGGTCATCATGTTGCCTTCTATCTTTCATCTCCTCCCTCACACTGGCAGTTTCGGAATGCAGCTTGCTTTGCTTGGGTTTGGGGCTCTCCACAGCCGTGCTCAAGACTCTTCCTAGTCCCCCAACTCTTAGCGACTCTAGTGGAGCTCTTCCTGGGACACTTCTTTTTCTGAGCAGTCAATATAGGCCTTCCCCCCACCCTAACCTTGAATTATAGATTTCTGTACTGGGAAAGCTGGGAGGGAACAGAGAGAACATAAACCAAACCCCAGGGAAGTGAAGCTACGTGACTCATGAAGATAGAGGAAGGATTGGGCAATTTCTAGGTTGATGTAAGCCAAGCAGATGGTACACCCCACTCTCAGAGCAAAGCCCCAACTTTGAGAAAGCCTCATGATTGCTTTTTTATGGAGCTCCTAGAGATCCTAATGGTTGGGTAAGAGCTGATCACTGTTGTCTGGTTGCAGACTCTGCAGAAGGGCAGCCAGCATGTTCTCAAGCCAGTCTGAATTCTTAGGCCACTTATGTCCTATCTGCTTTAAAGCCTTTTTAGGTTCTGGAAATTCTGAAAGCTAAAGAGAATGAAAGTCACTGAATAGTGACTTTGAATTGTTCATTTGTTCTGGTGAATGAAATGCCACCACAAGATGAGACATCAGTTCCTGAAAGGAACTCCTGGTATCTGGTAGAAAATGGGACTTTTGCAACAGTTCCCTGTACCAGCGAGTAAATCCATGCTGTTGACTGAAGTTAGCAGAGCCCTCTCTCCACCCCTCATGTCCCTGCCAAGCTCGATCCACGTGAGAAACTGCATTTTCTCCCAAATACAGATAAAAGTGAGCGCCGCAAAAATTTAAATATAAACCTCCCGAAAATGAAAATTTCCTAACTGTCTGACCGTCCTACTCCTAGGTCACGGTTTTGTCACCAGATAAATCTCCTCCATCAGCCCTCATAGCCTGTTGAGTTCAATGTTGCTTGTGTTAGTGACAGTGAATTTGCGTTTGAAAAATGAACTACTGATGAGAACTCCTGTTGAACCTGTATTGTTTGTTATTCTGAGGCAAGGATTTGGCCCGGCTTAATCCAGGCCTTCAAAGCCAATTGCCCTCACTCTGTATACAGAGCGTCAGAGCCCAGTGGCGTGGGTGATAAGAGAAGTAAGGATTGAAGACATTGGAAAAGTGGGTTGGGGAGAGAGTGCTTTGATCTCTTTTTAAAGTATTTTCTGAAAGCAAAAGTCTATCAGAAGGAAGTGCCTTAAAAAAAATAAAATCTAAAAGAAGCAGTTGACCTTCCAAAACAGTATCCATTCCATGCACTCTCAGCCCCGTCCCTCCTCCCTCATTCAGGGAAAAGATTTCTTAAAAATCCATTTAGCAAATTAGGAAACATTTTCTTTCTTTCTTTTTCTTTTCTTTTCTTTCTTTCTTTCTTTTTTTTTTTTTGGCGGAAAGTGGAAATAAATGAAGTAATTTTGTTGGTACTCTCAGAAGTCATTGGACTGCTGAAGAAGTTTTGTCTAGGATGGGCAGCACCAATGTCTCTCACTGCCCATTTTTAGTTGGGTAAATGGGTGCTGGCTTAGCCCCAACATGCCCCAAACGCTTGTTCTAGACTCCAGACATGAGGCAAAGCAAGATGGGTGGGTTTTCCATGGACCACTCCCCTTATCCAGCAGCCACTTCCTTTCAGACTCAGCTCCAAGACCTGTGCCCGTAGAACAGAATATTTTTAAATGTGAATTTTATTTACGTCAAACATTCCTGCAGAATAAGGCGCAAATCCCAAGTGTCTTGCTTGATGTGCTTTCACAAAGTCAACAGTCTTTGTCCTTGACTCACTTCAACTCTATCCTCCATCGTCCTTGACTCACTTCAACTCTATCCTCGAAACCAACTCTACAAACTTCTCAGGCCTTGGATTCGGTTTTTCGCCTCCATTGAAAGGAAGGCGCCAGAGCTGCTCCTGAGACCCTCAGCTGCTCCTGGGTCCCTGCGCTGCCCCTGGAGACGTCGGGCTTGGAGTCCTCGGCCAGGCGGAGAGAATGGGCGAGGACCCTAAGACCCCGGTTCCCTCCTCGCACTAGGTAGGCGGAGAGAGACCCAGTCCCCGCGGCGATGTGAACGGCGCTGGGGCTGAAGAGCTCCGCGGCCCTGCGAGCCCAGCCCCACCGCGCGCCCCGCTCAGCAGCCAGCCTGCCTGCATTTACCAATTTGCTGCCAATATAAAAATGCCTCAAAACCCCTGTCCCCCGCCCCCTTCTGCCCCAAGTCTAGGATAGCGAGACACGTCCGAGGAAGCGTATGTTAGCAGTTCATTCTAAAACCATTTCCGAGTATGCAGTAGATAAAGGCTGCAGCCCTTTTCAGAGCCTGTTTCATGATCAGAGGAGAAATCCCGGCTTTCATCTCCTCCCCGACGGCCGCCTGGCGGCTTGTTTATTCCCCCGGCGGAGCTGTTTCCGTGGGTGCTGGGGAAGCGCCCCATCTGCCAGAGGAGGGGGTGCGGGACCCCGAGAGGCGCAGAGAAGGCGTTCCCGGTGCACCGAGAGACAGGGGAGCGCGGAGAGGGCTCACCCGGCATATGAAAAGAGGGGCGCAGAGAGAGAGGGCTTCTGGGGTGCAGGACTTGAGGGGAAGAGCTGACAGGTCTCCTGGACGGAATCTGGGGGCAGGAAAGGGCTGCAGGGTTAAGGCGGTTTGGGATGTGGGGGCTTAATTGGGACACCAGCTGCTTGGTCAGCACCTCCCTTTTTGGGCTCACCCTCCTTGGTTCACTAAGGCATCCTTCCCTTCAAGGGCTGGTTGTTGTGTAGCTGACCCTCAGGGGGTTTTCAGAGAGAAGGAAATTGCCCAGCCTACTCCCGGCGGATCTGAACCATGTGCCTTCAGGTTGGCAGTGCAGCTCTTTAGCACTAAGCCACCGGAGCCCCCACAGGGTGTTGGTTTCACCCCTGTCTGATGTAAGAGTTTGATAATTCTGAAAGAGTGCCCATCCACCATCCACACTTCAGAGCTGGTCGGTTAGAGGCCTTTAGAGAGGAGTCAGATTCAGAGTGATGGTGACCTGTGAACACTCCTGAGCTGGGCCCCCTGGACTCTCATCATCGGCCTCCTCTGGAGACAAGGACAGATGTCCAGCCTGCAAGTTGTCCTTTCAACTTGAGGGTGTCTCCCCATGGGGTGGGACCCCCATCCTCAGACACACAAAAACTCACACTCATTGTCGTCAACTCAGAATCAACTCATAGGTGACCCTTCAGCAGATTTCCAAGGCTGTAAATCCCACGGGAGAAGATGGGTCATCTTTCTCCTGTGGAGCTGCTGGTGGATTCCAGCCAACACAGACGGGCTGCATTTGGGGTGAGCAGTGCAATGACTCCTTGTCGACTAGCTCACCAGAGCTCCACTTCATCCAGCTCATGGATCACACACCTGGAACAGGTGGGGAAATGACAGAGCCTGGGTCCTCGTGTGGCTTTTTAGTCTTCGAGGAAGGAGCCCTGGTGGCTATGGGTTGAGCTGCTGACTTAGAGGCTAGAATTTAAATCCATCAGGTGGGAGAAAGGATGGATGGAGGATTACTGTGAGTCTGAATTCCAAGACAATTGGGTTACTCCCTGAAATCAGTGGTTCAAACTCATCAGTTGTTCTTGTGGGGCGTGAGGGGAAGGCAGTTTGCTTCCTTAAGGATTTGTAGCCTTGAAAAACTCTACTACTTTGTCCTACAGGGTTACTTTGAGTCACCAAAAGTTGGAACCAACCAGTGGTCAGTTAGTGTCCTGGGGAGAGAATTTTTTAACTTCCTTCTCAGGCTAGATATCCTGCCCTCAGTCCTGGGGGTTTGGGGCTACTGCCTAAGGAAGGGGGGTGGGATTGGTGGGCAGAGGAGGCAGAGGCCTTTCTCCTAAACCCAGATCCAGTAACACCTCCCAGAGGCCCTTATCAGTTAGGAGTCTGGCCTATGGTCAGTTTCCTAAAAGCAAGAACAAAATAAACAAGTCTCCAAAATTCATTGTCACTGAGTCAGAACCAACTCATAGCTGACCCACTGTTGAATTTTCAAGATAGTTCGTCTATTTCCTGTGGAGCTGCTGGTGTATTCGAACTGCCGAACTGCCAGAGGCCTGGGATTTGGATTAGTGGCACAACTTAATGGCCTGTGGAGTCCGCCCCCAGAGCTCCCTATGGTCAGCCTCCAGGGGAGGCCAAATCCTGGCACATCAGCTTCCTGCCTTCTGGGGGCCTTTTTAAAAGCCGTTTCTAAAAAGCAGGCTGTTGATGCCAGCCTGGCAGCGTGTGCCGCTGAGATAGTGTCGAAGGCAGTCGAACGCGAAGGACAAGTCCCTTGGTTTTGAAGACTGTGTGGTGACAGGGGGTCATTTTCTCCTGGCCTGGGTGTGGATGCTGGCCCTTCCCGGGGGAGGCCTGGTCTGCCCTCTTCTGCTGCCACCTGGAGTGAGTAGAAAGAAACTAAGTGCAGGAAAGGGATGCCAGGTCAGTCCTAGCACAGCCAGGGCCGCCCCATTTTATTCCTGCTTCCGGTGTAGTTACAAAATGGTGGCCTGGAGGGGACAAGATTCTTGGCTTTCCCCCAGGGAGAGGGGAGGCAGAACAGCTGTTCCTCCCACCCCCTTCAGCTTCAGGCCAGGAAAGAGGGTGGTGCAGGCTGCAGCTGTGCCCCCAGGCTGGTAAGCAAGAGGCAGGGTTGGGTTCCTGAGCCCTCATTTCCCCCATTCTTGGGAAGGGGGTGGGGTGGACATTTGAAAATGCTTTCAATTGACATCTGAGACAAATTCTTCCACATGGTTTATAAGTCCCTAGACTAGCAGCTAGAACTTCCCTCCTCCCTGCAGGCACGTGTGCATGCGTGCACACACACACAGGCACTCACACCGTGCCCTTGTGCACACATACGTTCACACACAGACCTCACACTGGTTTCTCCTCCAGTGGGAGAGGCAGTGCATGCACTGGGGCTTCTGTGGGGGCTGAGTCAGGGATAGAACTGAACTCTGGCCCTCAGGGGCCTGGCTTGGGCTTGACGTGGGTCCTATCAGCTATGGAGGCTTTGGTTTGTTCCGGAAGCCCTGCCCTGTCCAGGTAAGCTGGTACTGCTGCCAACAGAGTAGGGAGCTCTCTTCATGTACGCACGCGGAGTCCAGGACAGCTTTTCTGCCAGGCACCAGCTCTGCTTCTCTGGCTAAGGAGAGGCAGAGAGAAGTCCTGGAGGCTTTCTTGAGTGGATTGATTGGGCAGCTTGACAACTCGATGGAGCTGGTTCATCTTTCCCTCAAGGTATTCACTTAGTTTAGGTTGGATCCCACTTCTCTCCTGGGTAGTAGTCCTCTTTGGAGAAGATTGGCTAAGGGTGGATTATGAGAAATTTCTGTCTGTCCTTCTCTGGTGAAGTCCACTGTTAGAGACTTGGTGAGGGAAGTTGTCCCCTGAAGGTACAGGAGTCTCTTGGTATCTTGGGAGATTTGTTTCAGGTCTTGTCAGATATAAAAATCTGAGTTTCCTCAAGTGTCTATATAAAATGGGCTGGTATTCATTTACATATAACCTATACACTTCTGTTGTATACTTTACATCATCCGTAGGTTACTTATTATACCTAACACAGTGTAAGTGGAGCACTTCATGCTCCCACTTGGCCTTTGAGGAAATGCTTTGACCACTTAAATGCTTCTCCCTGTGCTCCTCCCCATAGTGACAGCTTGAATCCATGCTTGCACAAACTGTGGATAGGAAGGCTCAGTGAAAGTGTCAAGCAGTCTGGAGAAATCTTTCTCTAGAATGTTTCTTACAGCCTCAGGGTCCTGGGCAGCCTCATCATGGGTCGCAAGAAGCCATTTTTGATGAATCCATTTTCATAGAAGTAGATCTATCACTCATTGGTGGGCATCAGTGATAATAGCCATAAATTGATTTAATTTGTGAAGCAACCTATGAGGTACATAGTAACATTACCTCCATTCTAGAGATAAAAGACTCAAGTCTTAAGAGATCCAAGCAAGTCACCCAAAGCCTCACATCTGGTAGAAGGAGGGGCTTGGCTGTGGGTCAGGTGGTATGGTTCCCAAATCCATGCTCTTATCCACAAAACTCCTGGATTGGCTTTCCCTTGACACTCAGTTTGTGAGTCAGCCCAAGGGAGGGGTCCACCAGGAACCAGAAGACTGAGTGGGATTTTCAGCATAGCTGTCTTTTCTCGCCACCCCCCACCCCGAGAACTCCCAGGGAGACAGCAGTCCAGACAGGCATCTCATTGTTTATCAAGCATCTAACGGGGGCTTCCTGGTCATCTATGCCAGCCCCCTGAGTGGTACCCTAGAATTTTAGCTGACAAGGGACAGGCAAGAAATAAAATCCACCAAGCTGATGCTAAAATTCCTGTCTTACAGTCCTGACCAGGAGCACCATGCTTCAACTACTCGCTCACTAGGCCCAAATCTGAGAAAATTATAGGGTAATGGTGGTGGCGGCGAGGCCAATGGGTTAACCTTCCTCCCAGATACATAGACTGACAGCCACAGGGGTCCCAAGTTGGAGAGAGAAGCCATAGGCTCTGACCACTGCCCAGATCTCTACTAAAAGGAACAGCAGCACATCCAGTTGCCAGTGAGTCCGTTCTGAATCATAGCGATCCTTGAGAACACAGAAGAACACAGAACTGCTCCACAGGGTTTCCTGAGCTGTAGTCTTTACAGAGGCACACTATTAGATCTTTGTCCTACAGAGCGGTTCAAACCATCACCTTTTGGTTAGCAAGCAAGAGCTTAATCATTGCTCCACCAGGGTTCTTGCTAAAAGGGCAGTTTCTGGCCCTTGCTTCTCACTCTGTACCACTTTTCCTGGTGCTCTGTCCATGCCTCCCACCTCACCCCTTGGCTTCCTCCAGGAGAATGTTCCCCAGCTACAAGGTAAAGGTCACAGGCATGAATCCCAAGACCAAGTATATCCTGCTGATTGACATCGTCCCTGCCGATGACCACCGCTACAAGTTCTGCGACAACAAATGGTAAGAGACCGGGGACCCTAATCACATCGCCCACCTTAATCACATTCCCTCCAATTGCCCTTTCATTCCCCTCCCCTCCTGCATCTGAGGTTTCACTCAAGGACTCACCAGTTATTTGCCTCTTATTACCCAGATCACAGTGTGGGGTTCATTTCTGAAACTAGGACTGTAGAGGCTGGGGAGGAGTGTGGTAGGTATCTGCACACCTGATGCAGGTGGGACTGAGGCTGGAGGCTGTTCATGAGACCCAAGGGCCTATGTCCACAACCATCAATAACCAGGCCTTGGTGACTATGCTGTTGGGGTGACAGAAAAGACTGAGCAGAGCCAGAAAAGACTGACTGTGCTGTGCTATGGTGTGCTGTGCTGTCCAGGAGGTTGGGAACTGCCCTAAGGGACTCTGCTAACTTTAGGTCCAGCTATGCTATCTGGTCTGGGACATCTCTCTCCTATCATTCAGTGACTTCCTATTTGAGCTACACTTTCCCCTTGGACTGCATGTTCACCCTCCCAAGTGAGTGAGGCTCTGCCTGGGTGCTGTGATCCTTGGGCAAGGGAATGAGGAAGACAAGGTAGAATGAGGGGTAAGCCCCAACTGAGGCTGGTCAACAAATGCTGAGTCACTTGTGTGAGGCTGACTCCTTAATACCTTGTCTTCCTCAGTGCCCAGGGTGGCTCAAGAAGAGAGAGGGATGAAGGAGTCAACCGTTGTTCAGGACACTGGGCTCTATGGTGGCTGGGTGGGTAGAAGAGCCAGCAGAGAGAGGATGAGAAAGCAGGAGTTAGAGGCCAGGACCCAGGCGCAGTTAAGTTTCTTTTCTAGTTCTTCTATTTCCAGGCTGGGTTAGCAGTCAGAGTCGACTCTGGCTGAGGACACAACTACCAATTTATTTGCCGCCATTGTTTTTTGGGGTAAGCCATTTGAAAGTTGTAGAAGTTCTCTCAAAAGCTCCTTTTAAGTAATAAAATATTTACCATTGAAAAATTTGTGAAGTCAAATTGACACAGTAAAACATCTAGATCTCACCATATGGTCTTAGTAATTAGCCCTGGTCAGTCAAGTGAAAAAACAAAACAAAACAAAAAACAACTTATCTCCACCTTCTCTCTTTTTCTTTCCACTGCAATAAGAGAAAGGGGTTTCAGAATTTCCCCTCTTTACCGCTCTTGCCCCCCCACCCCATCCCCAGAGTCATGAATTGGTTAGGAAGGGATCTGCAGCTGTCTTTTTGTGGTCCATGGAGATTTGATTCTGGAGGGGACAGGGCACCTGGGTGTCACCACCAGACCCCACAGTAAACCAGCTGCCACTGCTCTGTCTACTCCCTTGGCAGGATGGTGGCAGGGAAGGCGGAGCCCGCCATGCCAGGAAGGCTGTATGTCCACCCAGACTCTCCAGCCACAGGGGCCCACTGGATGCGGCAGCTGGTCTCCTTCCAGAAACTGAAGCTGACAAATAATCACCTGGATCCCTTCGGCCACGTAAGAATGGGGCCAGCCTCACCTCAGGGGCAGTGCTGGTGGGTAGAAACACTCATTCTGGGCTCTGGGGAGCCAGCTCCAGGCTTTGGCATTTGCTGGGGCCATTGGTGGAAAGAGCACAGGCTCTCAGCCCCACAGACCCGGTGACTTTGGGCAGGTTTCTTAGCTTGTTAATGAGCTTGGGTTTCCTTTGTGAGGAAAATGGAGATGACCACATATACCTTCATGGTCCTGAGGATTAAGTGGAGCAAGATGCATGGGCACAGGGGGTTTTCTAAATACATGAGAATCATGACGACCAGGATGAGCCAGATCTGTGTGCATTCTCCCAAAAGCTGGTCTTGCCAGAGCATAAGCTGAGACAAGTGGACCTTGGGTGAGGGTCACCAGTGAGTTCTGAAAGCCTCTGGCACGTTCTGCCACCTGCTGGCCTGCCCGCCCCTGCCCTATGCAGGGCCCTCCGGCCTTGCTCTTGTTGAGGTGTCCCCTCCTTCGGGACCTGGCTCTCAGGAGACACACTGGAGCTGCGGGGATGCTGCCGCTGACGCCCCTTCCAGGCTGCCGAAGCTCATTCTTTTCCCATCTGGCCCTGGCAAGCCCTCAAAAAAGGAATTTTTTATGTGGAAATTTTTAGCTCAAGTGTGCGGCAAACAGAAGCCTGGGGGACCTAGTGTTTATCTGCGAGGACACAGGCCTGCCCCTCTAGGTGCCCCATGGCTCCCCTGGAAGTACACTGGGGTGGTGGGGTGAGGGGTGCAGTAGTGGCTGCTGCATTCAGGTGCCTGTGTCACACACATGACGTTTAGTGTGTTGTGGAGGCATGGGGATGAAGGGAGAGCTGGGGGCTGGTATGTGCAGGTGGACATGCCCTTCTTTCTGGCCTCAGTGGTAGCTTCTGGGGGAGCGTGGTGACAACGTGGGTTAAGTGCCGGGCCACTAATTGGAAGGCTGGCGGTTTGAATCCACCAGTCTCTCTGAGGGAGAAAGCTGAAGTGCATCTACTTCTATAGAGACGTACGACCTCAGAAATCCTATGGGGCCATCCGGCCTTGTCCTTCAGGGCTCCTGTGAGCCAGGCTTTACTCAGTGACAATGGCTTTGGGTTTGGATTTAGTTCTGTTTCTGGGGAGCTGTGTGCAAATCAGAATTTGTGAATCATAGTTCCTCATGGAAAACTCTAGCAATGCGTCGTTTCTGATTGACTGGTATGCAGCTGGCAAGCAGCTCCCAGTGTGATTCTCTCGGAGTCCGTGCCACTCTCCTCTGAGCTACTGGTGATTTATAAATAGGCAACTAGGAGAAGGCTGAACCACAGTAATTAACTCCTAACTTCCCTGTCATGGAAGTCCACCTACTGGATCTCGGGGTCCTGTTCTGTGTATGCCGGACAGAACAGAGAGGTACACAAATGCTCAGTGGTGTGTACACATGAGGGTCAACTCTAACCTCTCGGGACAAAGACAAGCCGCCTGTGGGAAGGGTTGCCTGGGAGGCAGGGCAAGGGAGGGCTCTGAGGTGGAAATTTGGGACCCAAGCTGGCAGGCACAAGCTGTCCACAACTGCGCGTGTGCGCGCGTGCGCGCGCGCGCGCACACACACACACACACACACACACACACACACGGATGAGCTACTGTGGTGAAAATAGAGCTTGGCAGCCTCTGTGCCTTTGGGTGGTCAGAAACACCCAGGGATCCAAGTGTGGTGAGCGTTTTGGATGCACCAGCTACTTATCCTGGCGCCCAGCTGTGAAATCCCTTGGGGAGAACTCTACTACTTCTCAAACTCCTGCAGAGGCAAAAAAGCTGGGCTTTTTGAAAGATATGAGGGAAGTCTGATCTTTAAAGCCCAGCAGTAGGTTTCCTCAGTCTGCTTTGCACCTTTGATGGATTGATCTGGCCGCTAAGTGGTTTGCAGTAACCCTGCAGATAGTTTGAATCTGGGCCCTGGGAGGCTGCTTAATGGACTTATGGTGCTGGGGCACGTCTGACAACACTTGCACATCTGACTGGGGCTCCCCTCTATTTCAAAATAAGGGATATTCCTGCATTCTAACTTTCTCCCTGGAGGGACGGGATTCCACCCCCTGCCCCCTCATTCCTGCACTGATCCAGCACTTGCAGTTTGTTGATTACAGCACATCCATTGGGGTTGGCAGGGCTCCACAGAGGTGAAGTGCTCATTCTAGGAGCTAGGGGTAAATGGACAGGTGATCATACCTTCATCTGTCTTCCTGTGGACACTGTCATGTCTTCAGCCTTTTGGAGTGTCTCTGGAGAGAGAGAGGGGTAAGGAGGGAGAGGGAGACAGAGAGAGAGAGAGAGAGAGAGAGAGATTGAGATTGCAAGCGAGAGAGCGAGCCCGCATAGTTTGCCATCCAGGCAAAGTTGTGGAGTAGAGCTAACATCCAAGGGCAAACCAGCCCTTCCGTGCTCAGATTTTATGCTCCTTAGCCTTTGCCAGTAGGAATGATAAGCTTCCTAAGTCACCCTGGTTGTCTTGTTTTCTCAGTGCAGGAGCTGGATAAGAGCCGTCTTAGATCATGAACTTGCCCCAGAAAACCCTTCTTTCTCCACAGTTCATCTCACCTTTGCCATCCTCTTCTGGCTTTTCCTCTTTAGGGTCCTGGCCCCAGCAGCCAAGTGCTGGCTGGAGCTGCTTGTTTTTCACTGAGTAAGATTGCTGCAGTGCTAGGGCTTCTGAGAACCTAGCAGGGTCTCACTGGGATGTGTGGATGGGGTATTGCACCCAGTGCAGAGGATCCGCAAAAGGCCAGCACTGGGGGAAGGTGTCCTACATTTCTTCTGAGCTGTGGGCAGGGAGGAGATGCTTGCAGTGGGCTGTGACCTTAATGTGTGAGTGTGAATGTGTGTGTGTGTGTGTGTGTGTGTGTGTGTGTGTGTGTGTGTGTGTGTGGTGTATGAGAGAGAATGAATGTGTGAAAGAGAAAGGTCATCTTCACCACCTTCTGTCTCTCAGGGCTTCCAGGTTGGCGAGGACTGGCCAGTGTCTGATATCTGACAGGGATTCTAACTGCCCACGATGCTGCGTTAGCCTCAGGCTCGGGGTGTGGCTGCAGCTCCTCAGACTCAGCAGCACGTGCGTGGGCTCAGGCTCTCTCCACAGTGGACGTGCCAGCTCCTCCTCTGGCCACTTTGGTTTCACAGCAGCTCCCTCTGCCTGGAGTGATTGTCCTACGCCCTTCACCTAGTCAATTACTCCTCTGATGGGCTTTTCAGGGAGACAGGGAGTTCCCATAATATTCTCTTTAGAGCACCGTGTACCTTCTTGTCTTAGTATTTGATACAGTCATAATTTTGCAAATTTAAAATTTAATTTTGAATAGGAAATGCATTCACATGATAAGTGAATAAAAAATTATGCAAAGAAATATCTCTCTGCTAGATTCCTCATCATCTAGTTTCTCCCAACTTTCCCCGAAGGTAGCCACCTATCTTATTAATGTCTTTCCAGCATTTCTTTATGCATATGTAAACAGAAGTTGTTGTAGTTGTTGATTGCCTTCAAGTTGGACACGACTCATAGCAACCTTATGAACAAAAAGCCTGAAGCCCCTCTATAACTATCGACACTTATCAAAGTGCATAGAGTTTCTGGAGGCATGTTGTTTAGAAAGTGGATGCCACTTCTGCTTCCAAACCTGTCATAGTATGTAAATAGATAGGAACACGTAAAACATCCTCTTTTATACACCAAAAGTCACATATTAGAAATACTTGTTTGCATTCTAACTTTGTGAATGTAACATTGCATATTGGAGAGTATTCTATTTAATTATAGAGAACTTCCTCATTCCTCGCCCACTTACCCCGCTTATTTTACAGATGCATGGGATTTCATTGCAAGATTGTTTTAATCTTCATGGGATTAATCCCTTACTGGGGAGACTAGGTGCTTTCCATTTATTAAATCTTTGGAATAAACTTGCATCTTATGCTTTCACGAAATAGATCTGTGATAAATTGCTAGCTGAAAGGGCATTTGCAATGTTTTTGTAATTTGGATTTGTAATTTTGAAAAATATTGCCAAATTGTCTTCTCTAGAGATTGGACTCCTCACCATTGTTACAGCCTTGTCAACAGAGCAAGAGAGCCGTCTTGGATTTGTGGCAGTCTGATAGATGAAAAAAGAAATACACTTCCATTTAGTTTTACTTTTCACTTCCTTTATCACGAGTTTAGGCATATTTTTCTATGTATTTCCTCTTCTCTGAACTAGTCTCTTATCCATTTCTCTTAGATTGTTCTCTTATCAACTGCTAAGTTTATAAATTAAACTTGAAAATTCACTGCTACCAAGTCGATTCCAACTCAAACTGATCCTCAGTGGTGTTTCCAAGGCTGTAGATATTAGTGGGAGGAGAATGCCCATCTTTCTCCCACAGAACTGTGGGTGGATTTGAACTCCTAGAGACGTGCAGTAGTGCAGTGCTACAGATAGTGCCACCAGAGGTCCTCTTTTATAAATTAGAAAGACCTATTTGTGATATGAATTGGGCGTATTTTCCCAGCTTGCCGCTTGTCTTCTGATTTTACATAGAGTAGTATTCCATATGGAGAACTCTGTGTCCTGGTGCTAAGGAATTGCACCATCAACCCAAAGGCATGCAGTTCAAATCCACAAGCTGCTTCATGGAAGAAAGATGGACACTGTCTTCCCATGCAATTTACTGCCTCTGAAGACCCACTGGAAGCTTAGCTGTGAGTTGGTTCTCACTTGACGGCACATAACAGCTACAGTTTTCCATGCAGAAGTTTTTGATTGAGTATGTTAGCCTTTTCTTTATGGATTCTGAATTTTGTTTTGAGTAATTGGAAGCCTATAGCTACTCCTTACATATAAGGGAACTTTTCATCATTTCTTCCAGTATCTTATGGATTTAACTTTTGCATTTAAATCATTGTTCTTTCTGGAATTTATAATTCCATATGCACCATGCATGACTCCATCTTTCCCCCCTAGAGAGCCATTCAGTTGT